GTGCTGACGCCTTGATCTCTGACTTCCAGCCTCCAGCACTGTGAGAAAATAACTTTCTGTTGTTTAAGCCACCTAGTCTCCGCTACTTTGTTACGGCAGCCCCAGCAAACTAACCCAGTGAGATATGATTGTCTGTCTTTTTTTTTTTTTTTTAGTTGAGACAGAGTCTTCACTTTGTTGCCCAGGCTGGAGTGCAGTGGCCGGATCTCAGCTCACTGCAAGCTCCGCCTCCCGGGTTCACACCATTCTCCTGCCTCAGCCTCCGGAGTAGCTGGGACTACAGGCGCCCGCCACCTTGCCTGGCTAGGTTTTTGTTTTTTTTGTTTTTGTTTTTGTTTTTTGTAGAGACGGGGTTTCACCATGTTAGCCAGGATGGTCTCGATCTCCTGACCTCATGATCCGCCCGTCTTGGCCTCCCAAAGTGCTAGGATTACAGGCTTGAGCCACCTCGCCCGGTCATGATTGTCTTTCTGGGTAAACTATACCAATCACAGTAACAGTCATTGACCACAGAAGTGTCTTGTGACCAAGACCTTCCATATAATACCAAGGCACACACCTACACACACATACACACACACACACACACACAAGCTGAGCTGTTTTACTAGGTACACACCTATTAAATTGTAACATAAATGTGTTTTGCAACAATTTTTTTTGATCCTGTAACAGAACTAGGGTCTTGCAAAGTAACCACATCCTCTGCCTTCAGCTGCTTCTCCCTTCCTGCCAGCCAGCCACACTCACTAGATACTTTGAGAGGAGCCAGGGACAAGGGGTTAAGTGGACTGTGTCCTTCCAGCCCAGCCTGCCTCTTGAATTCTCTCTGAGAAGGTCTGGCCAACAGTCTATCTACTTCTCCAAAACAGAGACCAGAAACACCCCTCACACTTTCTTCAGGAAGGGTGTAAGCATCTCCAGGGATCAGATGGCTCATTTCTACAGCCCTAAGACGACAAATGTTCCAGGGACTCACCAGCAGTAGCCAGAGCAGCCCCTTTACCTTCCAGGAATGGGGAGGGGGCTTCCCAGCAGCACTAAGGTTTGCTTTCGGATTCAAACCACCAGCTTCCCCGGCAGAGACCTGGGTATAGAGAGTGGCAGCTGCACAGAGACTCATCTGCGTCATGACCCATACAGCTTTCAACAGGGACAAAGAGAACAGGGGGAGCCAGGCAGTCTTACTTTAGGGAAACATGTCACAAGGCTCTTCAATTTGGAGTTGGTATAGCCAGGAACCGCCAAGAGTTGAGAAGGTAAACAATGCACCTTCCCTATATCATTCTGAGGAGAGCATGGAGGCTGAAAGGAGCATGGCCCTGGCTGCTCATTTTAGCTAGAGCCCAGCACCAGGGATGACCTCCAAAAGGTGGGCAGTATGGAGAAGCACTGGACCACAGCATGCTGAGAAGCACCTGCCGCATGACCAACAGGATGGGGCATGAACACCCCTGAGGATTTCTGGTCTACTAAACAACCAGCAAGAACAGCTAGGACGATTGCTGAAAGGCACAGCAACTGTAATGAATGTAACAACCGGCTGCTGCTGCTGCTGCTGTTGCTGCTGCTGCTGCTGCTGCGGTTACAACCTAGTTTCAGCATTTGCCTCAGCCAGATAACTCATCCTCTTTCTCATGGGGAACTCTCCCCTGACCACTATTACCTCCTCTCATTAAAAATCAGCCTCTGCATTATCACTTCCTTTGCACTGTCACTGAGGCCACAAAAATGTAAGGGAGAGAGTGACACCCCGCCTAGCCCTGCCCATGGGTACTTTGTCCTACCTCCCCAATGACATCATGTTTTTGCAGAGTTAGGGAAGAATGAGCCAGGCTTCCCACTGCGACTCTCCAACAAGCCAGGGCTGACCTAAGGAAGTGTGTAACAGGAAAAACGTCCGCCAAAGCCATCAGAGGAATGCTAACCTTTTATTTGTTCAGCGACGATTTTAGCGACCACAACTTCAGAAGAAGGCATTGACAAGACAAAGGCAGGTGGCTCTATCTCTATGTGCAGCTTTCCACACACATCTTCCCACTTACTCATAAGTATGTGAAATATTAATACCCTCATTCAACAGAGGAGGTCCTTTCCATCAGGCCTTTGCCCAGTGTCAATTTCTCAGGGAAGCTTGCCCTGGTTATGCTATCTATCAACACTGGTCAAGTGCAGTGGCTCATGCCTGTAATCCCAATGCTTTGGGAGGCCAGGGCAGGAGGACTGCTTGAGCCCAGGAGTTCAAGACCAGCATGGGCAATAGAGAGACCTCATCTTTACAAAAACAACAACAACAAATTTAATAGCTGGGCACAGTCTCATGTGCCTGTAGTCCCAGCTACTCAGAGGGCTGAGGAAGTAGGATCACTTGTACCTGAGAGGTTGAGGCTGCAGTGAACTATGATGGCACCACTGCACTACAGCCTGAGTGACAGAGTAAGACCTTGTTTCAAAACAAAAACAGAAACAAAATATCCATATCAACCCCTACGTAAACACATCTGACCCTGGGTATCACCTTAGCAGTTTATCACTCTCTGATATGCCATCTAACTTCCCTTATTGTCTGTCTCCCAGGATAAAATATATAATGTCTACAATTACATATTCCAAAAGCTCCATGAAGTCAGGACGATGTCTGTTTTACCCAGTGTTGTATCCCCAGCAGCTGGAATAGCGCCTAGCATGTAGTAAAGGCTCATACAGGTGTGTCGTGTGAATAAATAGGGAACTGAGGCTCCTAAGGTTGAATCCAGCAATGCAAGCTATAAAAAGGCAGAACTCAAATTTGCCAATACCAAATTTTCCCCAGGCACTGGTGGAAGTGGAGAAACTGCTACATTCACTGGCATCATGGGAGACAGAGAGACCATCAAACAAAAGTAGGTACAATAGGACCCAAGGGGAACAAACACAAGTTGTTTGCATTTCTTTGAGAAAGGCTAGAAAAGCAAAGGCAAGTGGTAGGACTCATGAGAAAATAGGAAAGTGACAGCTGATTCCAGGCTGGTGAAGGAAGGAAAACATAGGAAGATGAAGCAATATGAAAATAGGAACAGAGCTCTGGGGTGGAGGAACCTACTCCATCCCTGGGGCTTTCTTTAACAGCAGATAGAAAAATGAAGAATTCATATACTATGCTTGCTTCACGAAGAGTCAGGAAAAGAAAGGGAACAACAATATAAGAGTCTAGGTAGGGCATAGTGGCTCATGCCTGTAATCCCAGCACTTTGGGAGGCCAAAACAGGCGGATTGACTGAGCTCAAGAGTTCGAGACCAGCCTGGGCAACATGGCAAAACCCTGTCTCTACAAAAAAAAAAAAAAATACAAAAATTAACCGGTGTATGTGGCGCATGACTGTAGTTCCAGCTACTTGAGGGGCTGAGGTGGGAGGATCGCTTGAGTCTGGGAGGTTGAGGCTTCAGTGAGCCGAATTCGCACCACTGCACTCCAGCCTGGGTGACACAGTAAGACCCCATCTCTAAATGTTTTGTTTCTTTGTTTGTTTTTAAAGTCTAAACTTTGTAACTACCCAAGCGACCTCTGAGGGTTGAGGTGGGGGTAGGACTGGGAGGGGCTGGGATGAGAAAGTTGTGGAAGGAGCAGATGGTATCCTAAACCAGGATGGGGAGGGGAGGGAAAGAAGGGAAGCTTGTTTTGGAGTGGCCCAAAGGAGAGGCAAGGAGACTAGGTAGAGACTGCACACTTAGGACTAGCCAGGTGGAGTCTACGAGAGCACTCGGCGCCTCTCTGGAACAGAAGCAACACAGATAGACAGACTGAGCTAGGGCCCAACAATCAAGGGAGGTTATGACAGATGTCAGAGATGGCCATTCCCAGAAGCTATGCCTGGAATGTCCCTTTTTCCAATCAGGAATTCTAAGGAGGGACAAGTAGCCCAGAGAAGCTCCCCTTGGAGTGTGAGTCCTGGACCTAACTGATGCAAAGAATCCTACGGGCTTGCACTGTTGTGGGTACCACCCCATCCCCGGGCACTCAGAACTCCATACTGGGGGAAGATGCCTTGTTAGGAAAATACCTCAGGGGAGACGATGGTCATGGGAATACATGATGACAGATTGGGAATAATGACCTGAAAATGAAAGATGGGGACCAGGTGGTGCCCTGACCAGGCCAGGCCAGCTTGCCAGCAGATCCAGTGCTGGTGTTTGGGCACCTGACAATCTTTGCTGGAAAGGAACTCCTGATTATCACTTCCTTTGGTCTAAGTGGTCTCAGAACCAAGATGTGGGCATGGCTTTCCCAGAGAGAGGTACCAGACCCTGCCCCAGTGTGAAATGACCTCAAGGAAGCCTCAACTTCCTACCCCCCCCCAGCCTGCAGTCCTCTCGGCTTAAGTAACCACCGAACCAAAAATCATCTTATACAGGTGAAATGATAGGATGGCTGGGAATTGCTTTATAATTCTCCAGCAAACCAAACAAACTGTGTGGGGGCGGGGGGGATAGAAGGAACAGAGTGGGGAGGTGTTGTACATATTGAAGGTGGGAGAGGGTATAAGGAGATTTATTGGACCAGTGGATGGCAAAGTGCCCTTTCCAAACCAGAAGCAGCACCACCTGGGGGCTCTAACAAGTTGCAAATTCTCAGGAGGGAGCTGACCCCAGATCTACTTAAAAATACACAACAAAAACCTCTAGGGCTAGGGCCCAGCAATCTGTGTTTTAACAAGCCCTCCAGAGGATTTCGCTCAGCGGTCCGGATGCTTGCTCAAATTTTAGACCCACTGCACAATACCTTTCTCTCTCCTTTTGTGCCTCTGCTCTGATTTCCATAATAAAGGGTTTAAAAAACCATCCCTATGGGCATTTTTGTTGTCAAGTTGTTTATTTCTTACATCACTTGTCTTCAATTGCTATTTAACTATTGTTTTGATCTTTTCCTGGAGCCAGAACAGAAAAGCCAGAAAGCAGAAACCACTGCGTCTTTCTCCCGCCGCCCACCCCCCACCCCGCCCCCGACACCAGCCCAGTTTGCAAATACAAACTTCCTGTAAGAGACGCCCCCGGCCGGCGCACACACAACTCACACCTGAAGGCTGTGTCTGCAAAGGGGCCCGGGAACGACTCCCAGGGCGACGTGCAGGCCGCATTTCGGAGCTGCCCCACTTTCCCCGGCCTTCACCGGGTGCCCTCAGCGCACGCCGGGGTCCTGGCCCCAGGCGCGCCCGCCTCCCGCAGTCCCAGAGTCCGGGCCCAGGTGGCACTGCCACTCGTCGATCCTGTGTGGGCACCCGGGCCTCGCGAGAGACGACCCCTCTAGGACTGACTTTCGAAATGCAGCTCGAGATATGGGTCCCTTGATCTTTTCCGTTCTCCCTTTCAGAAGTTCTTTAAAAAGACGAGGAAGGAGGCGAGGAGAGTTGGAGGTCGAGTCACAGGGCGGGGCCCTCCAGGCACTGTCGCCTCCTCCCCGCTGTTTCGGGTCCTGGATGAGGGTGCGGAGCTCGGGAGACCTGGGCGGTCGCAGGAGGTGAAGGGTTAAGAAGCGGGGGGCCACCCCCCTCCCTCCGCGTATCCAGTGCCCCTTCCTCCTCCTCCTCTCCCTGTTCCTCCCCCCACCCCCCTTGTGTGCTGTAAAACAATCCCTTTGTTTCCTCTTTAAGACGTTAGCCTCAGGGGCCATTATAGGAAAGAAAGGTAGCCAGGCCCTTTTATCTGCAAGAATCCATTAAGCGTGGCCTCTGTGCAGCAGGCCGCTCGGTTATAGGCTGCTCCGCGAGGGGTTCCAAAGTGGGAGAACCCCTCCCAAGGGAGGAACCAGACGCACCTGTATCCCATCTCACTACCTCCCCCTCGGGAACTGGAATCCAGAGGGAGTGGAACGCTGGCAGTTTTCAAACGAGAGTGAATATAGAGCCGCGGTGGGTCTCTGGCAGAACCCCAGTTTCACACCTTCCTACCCTCGCGCCGTCTCTTCCCTCACACCCGGGAAAGGGGGTAAACTTTCGACGGCAAGATGGGAAAAGACCCTACCCTTCGTTTCCTCAGCGGGTCTTGGTGCGGGGCTGCCACCGTGCGCGGGAGAGGGGACGCAAGCAGCTGCTGGTCCGGGCGACCAGACGCGCACGTGTCTGTCGGTCCCACCGCTTGTGGGTCGGTCCGAGGGTAGGCGAGGACGCCTCTGTCCCGCAGCCCCGCACGCATTTGATTGTGGTACTGAGCGACAGCTACGAAGTTTGCCACTGGGGGACCGAAAGAGGGCCTTTTACGTTTCTTAGGAAGCTGTGATGCAAAATGCCTGCTGAAAGCACTGGAAGTTTCATGTGTCTCATCAGAAAGTAATCTAACACCAATTCATTATTTATATCCTCCCCCAAGAACCAGTCGTCCCAAATGCCCACTCTGCCCGTGCGCTCTGTCTCACCTAGCCGCCCAGTCACAACAACAAACACCGCCCACAGGCCCAAGACACAGGCTCAGAGACTGCGGCTCCGTATTCTGGATTTGGGGGCCAGGCGCAGGAGGAGGGGAGAAGGCGTGGCAGCCTGGCCCGGGCCGGGCAAGGGCCAGTGTGATACTTGTATCAAGTGTAGTGGGAGGAATCTTTTCTTTTTTAAATTGCCAATAATTCGGATTGTTGAGAGTAACGGTGGCAGGAAAGCAACAAAAGAAAACTCTTTCTTTAAATTCTCTGTTGTATCCAGGTCAAAGACACAATATCAAGTCAGTGTCTCTTGCTTGAAATCTCTGTGGAATGACCTTCTTTGGATCTTCTCCTGCTCTTTCACCATGAATATAAATATTTTCTCCACTTACCATATGTTACCCACGCACTTCCACAGACCCCACCGCCACCGCCCCGCTGGGCTCCTTGCAAAAGGAAAGTCCGCCCTGCTCTCTCCTCTCAGCCGGGAGGGCAGGGGGAGGAGGGAGCAGTGTTGTTCAAGGGACAATGTCACTTTCCTCTTCATCAAGATTCTTTGTCAATTGCTGGGGAAATAATTGACCTCAAGCTACTTCAGTCACAACCAATAGAAAAATGGAACGGTGATGTGTCCAGCTGTTAAGGGGAGGCAGGCTGGAAAACAAAGGTGGCAAGGAAGGGAGCTGACATGAAAAATATGTAAAGCTTCAAGTGCAAATTCTTGGGAAACAGTGGAATTTCATTTTAAAATAAAACCAAAAACCGGAATTGTGTTCATTTGTCATATATCCAAGGTTGCGGTTCTTGATTTGTGCCTTTGGATAGCTTAAAAGGAGAATCCCAGCACAGAAGCCCTTTCATACAGCTGCAGTCTTTTCAGTTCTCTGACCCTTTCCTTAACTTACACAATGGCACTTTTTCCAACACCCTTCACTCAGTTAGCAGCCAAAATGATTCAGCTCCATCTGATTCAGGGGCCCAGGGAATAATTTGGTAGTTCTTTGAGTATTGTTTGGCATTTGTTGTTTTTGGTTTAGTTTTGAGTTTTTTTATTCTGTTTTGTTTTTGTTGTTGTTGTTTATTTGTTAGTTTGTTTTGTAAGTAGCAGGAGAAAGCAGCCTGAAAGAGAAAAGGAAAAGTAGGAGGAGTGAGAGGGATAACCAGAGAAAAAGCCAAGAAGAAATTCAGAAATTGCCTTTCCTTGCTTCCCTTAAAGAGATGATGGTTAGGAGTGGTTTGTTAAAACAAATCTCATATTTCAGCCCACAAGATGTCCCATTTATGAAGCTGATCCTGTTCCGGGTTGGACCAATCAGACAAAAATCAATAAGGACATTCAATGCCACCAATGTGGTAAGAAGCAATAACAATATCAAACAGCAACTCAGCAAGGCCTCAAACATGAGCTCTTAGCCTGAACTGTGTCTTCTCCAAAGAGGAGAAAAGAGGACTTGGGGTAGTGGAGGGGAGGGGGCAGTGGCAATCCAGATGCTACAAAAACAGCCTGATATCTTCCATGGTACACATTTACCTTCCAGTGTGTGACTACACCAGTGTAGTGGATGTGTGAGTGCTGATGAACAGCCACCGTGGAAGAGCCAAGGCCCCTGCCTTCTCCAGGCCCAGCACTGAAACACAAAAGGTGAAGAAGAATATTAATACGGCAGAAACCCCTGTCACCTGGCAAAAGAGCTCATCAGACTCACAAATATATTTTTGACAGCTTATATCTTCTCCATGGAGTTGTAGGGAGTGGTGAGTGAGTGATAAGGCCATCCTTAAAAGCAAGCAGAAGAGCACACAGAAAGTAAATGCTATCAGTGCAGATGCTCAGTGACAAATATTTGGTATCATTGCAAAAATTTCCCCAAGAGCATGATGCATTTTTCTCTAACAGAATTTTTAAAATTTTTGTCTGCTCTAAGATGTCCCCAGGTAAATGCGATAATGGGTACTATGGTCGGAATGCTTGTGTCCTCCCCAGATTCTGTGGAAATCTTATATCCCAAAGCCATTGTAGTAGGAGGTGGGACCTTCGATAGATAATTAGGTCATGAGATTAGGACCCTTATAAAAGAGGCCTGAAAGAGACTCCTCGCCCCTTCCATGTGATGATGCAGCTAGAAGACACCATCTATGAACCAGGAACCAGGGCCTCACCAGACATTGAAGCTGCCTGCACCTTGATCTTGGAGTTCCTAGTCTCCAGAACTGTGAGCAATAAATGTATGTTGTTGATAAGCCCCTCAGCCTATGGGATTTGGTTATAGCAGGATGACCAGTCTAAGACAGTCAGTGTATTTCCAAATTTCTCCAACCTCTCACAAGTGCTTTCCAGATCTTCTCCAAGGCTTATTCATGTCATAGAACAATCAGCAGCTATACTTTACTTCTCTCAGAATTACTAATTCCAACCAGTTGAGTGGTATTTATTTAAGGAAAGACTTTGCTGCTTAAGGAACTCTCTAGTGTTCATCACTGTTTAGAGCTGCTTAACCTGTTTCAATGAATAGAGAGATTTTTACATATAACATACTTGAAAACAGCTGGACTAGTTGTATTCTAGCTGCATCTAGAACGTCACCTAATGGTTCACCTAATGGAACTTCACCTAATGGAACTTCACCTAATAGAAGTTCACCTAATGGTTCAAAGATGAAGCTGTTGAGTTACTGTCTAGTGATGGCAATGGATTCTCATTGAACTCCCTATGTTCTCTTTCAGTCTTCCTTATGACCCCTGGCACTTGTTTTCAAGGTGGGAAACCAGGATTGGGGTAAAATCTGTGGATATAGTAGTAAGGCTAATTGGCTCCTGTGAAAATGAAACCTATGGCTTGGCCTCATTAGCCTTGCATTAAATCTAACATCTCAAAGTGCAGTTAAATGGACATAGTTCTTACCTGGAACATATTTGTAATTTGGTAGAATCTAATATGGTCTCACCAAATATTGCCCCATCCTGAGATGTTCTGGGTGAAACAGAGGAAATTAAAATAAGTTGACAATTGATATTCTAAATTAATGAAAATCAAATGCTTTCAAGTTATGTTTTTCATTCTGCAAATAATTTAGGTTTAAACATCTTAAAACACATTTTATTATGTACAAATTATGATTATATTAGTAAAAATTTTTTAAAATGCCTAGAAGAAAAGCTGAAAAGATATCAAATTGTTTATGTTTTTATTTAGATGGCAAGATTATGAGTAAATGATTTTTTCTCATCTTAATTTTCCAAGATGTTGTTGAGTGGTTACAATTACTTGCCAATGGAATAAAATATATGATCATTCCATAAATATTGGTTAATGCTTATGCATAGGAATCACTCTAAAAAAGTGACTTGACAAGTACAATTTCTGTTTTCTGAAAAAGCAGTGACTTGAACAAGCATAAGAAGAAGTAACAAGAGGAAAGGAGCAGTCATGAGTGCTTCCTACCATCTGTCGGGCATGTCACAGCGTTATCTTATTTAATTCCCTCTGCTGGTAAAGGAGACACTGATTTTACAGAGCAGGGAATTGAAGCTCTGAGCGTGCATGTAAGTTGCTCAAGATCTCACTGGTAAAGGGGCCACTCACACTCAGTGTTTTATGCTTTCCTCCTGCTATGTGAAAGACGTAGCAACAGAAACATTTAATAGGTTAGACAAATAAATAAGTGTAACATCCTGTCTTACCAAAAATCGCTCTATAGAACTGGTCTGACCACACCCCTTACACAGAATCCACCGCCCTGCCTTACACACACACACTGCTGTCACGGATTGGACCAGAATGGTCACCTGACCCAAAGCTGCTGAACCATTAACTTCTCAGTGACCAATCAGATCCTCTCTTCTCAATAATTTACCTAAGGAGATGTATAAATTTTGGTAAAGTCTAGAGTAAGCTTTTCAATTCAGATCTTAGGCCAGTTGGGGGAGTAGAAAGGATTGGCTCTGTAGAGAGCAAAGATAACAGAGGATGGAGGCCTCATGGATAAGCAGAGAAGACGTGCCTACAAAGCAGGGAGAGAAGCAGAAACGGAGGAACAAGAGGCCACATGGTCCTCCTGTGTAGTTCAGAAGAGCTTTTCCCATTCTCACAGCTTCCCTGTGAGCAATGTTTCCCATGGAGGTATTTGAACAATACCACATTTTGTTTGAACTAGCTTGAGTGAATTTCTTCTCTTACAATAAAAATATCTCAAACTACAAGCCAGGTGCAGTGGCTCATGCCTGTAATCCCAGCACTTGGGGAGGCCAAGGTGGGAGGCTGGCTTGAGCCCAGGAGTTAGAGACCAGCCAGGGTAACATAGTGGGACCCCTGTCTCTACGTTTTAAAAGATTAGCCAGGCATGGTGGTGTGCATCTGTAGTTCCAGCTACTTGGGAGGCTTGCGGTGGGAGGATAGCTTGAGCCTGGGAAGTCAAGGCTGCAGTGACCTATGATTGTACCAGTGCACTCCAGCTTGAATGACAGAGTGAGAACTTGTCGAAAGAAAGAAAGAAAGAAAGAAAGAAAGAAAGAAAGAAAGAAAGAAAGAAAGAAAGAAAGAAAGAAAGAAAGAAAGAAAGAAAGAGGAAGGAAGGAGGGAAGGAAGGAAGGAAGGAAGGAAGGAAGGAAGGAAGGAAGGAAGGAAGGAAGGAAGGAAGGAAGGAAGGAAGAAAGATCTCAAACTACAGAAGCAAGAAACACACACTTCGTCAGAATCTCAAGTCACAAGTCTCTGCCTGGCTTTGCCAGTGATGATCAGTGCTCCCAAACACATATCCATGTGCATATCTCTCAGGAACCTCAGACTCAGTATTCACTAAGTGAACCTATCCATTTCCCTCCACATGCTCCCAGTGTTTCCAAACTCAATGAATGCCACTAATATCCTCCCAGGTTTCTGACCTGTGAGTTCCCCTCAACCCTTCCTTATTAGCTTCCTATATCCAACCTATCTCAAATTCACTCAAATACTGACCCCATCCTTCTGCTTCTCTGCCCCACCCCAATGCAGGCTCCACCACCTACCATGTTGCAGGCAGCAACCTCCTTGCTGGTTTCCCTGCCGTGGTCTTGCTGCTCTCCAACAGCCAATACTCAAGTCTGGTCAGTGTACACACACACACACACACACACACACACACACACGTGCTTGTGTGCGCAGCAGCATTTAAAACCCTCCCATGGCTTTCCTTTTAGGGTAAAATCAAAACTCATGTGCATGGTCTCCAGGGCCCTGTTCATTGTAACCTCTTCAGTCCTGTGTCTCAGCATCCTGCCCACACTCTGCCCAGGCTGAACTGCTTTCAGTTCCTCAAACTTGTCACGCTTCTCTGCCTGAAGGACTTTTGTGTACCCTGTGCCTCTCAATGTGGAACTCCTCCCCTACTTAGCGGCTCTTACTCTTCTCTTGTGCCTCAGCTTAGATTTCATGCCCTCCACATAGTCTTACCTGATCTTCTGAACTTCAGGTTAAGTATCCCTAGTATGTGGCCCTGTGACTTTCTGTGCCTGACCACCCAGAGTACTTGCCAATCTTCATTGTAATTACTTGATTGTATTGTCTCCCTGGTTTGACTGTAAACTCCCTGCAGGCAGGGCATTGCTCTGTTATATCTCCAATGCTGAGCCCATCCGGTGATCAGAGAAGAGAAAGTGGAACCTGGGGGCCTGGTTATATAGCAACTAGAGCATCACAGCCATGAGGTGCTCAGGATCTAGGTGTGTATGATGATCTTGGAAAAGAAATAGCTGTAAGAAGGACACAGTAAGAACAAAGAGGCTTTGGACCAGATTCTCAATAGATGAGGACAGTGGTAGAGAAGAAAAGTATTCAGGAGAAGATGGAACCAGTATGACTCCAAGACATTTGGAAGTTGAGAGAGGGTTTCTGGTTTAGCAGGAAGATGATAATTTGGTTTTGTGAGAGTCTGATTGGGTTTGTGATGGCACAAGAAGTCCAAGTGACACTTAGAGTGGCAGGACTCCAGCTGCAGAGAAGCAAGGGCCAGAGATGACAATTTGGAGGTAACTTGTCTGGAGGCGATGGTGGAGGAATGAATGAAGGAGCTTCTACAGTGTGAGCCAAATATAGGGCCAACAGGAACTTTCCAGTTAAGTCAAGCAGAGCAGAGATGAAGATGGAAGGAGGACTTCAAGGAATGATTGAGAAAGCAGAGACTAGAGTCCATCCCCAGAGCATACTATGAAGTTATGAAGGCCAAGAGAGGAGAGAGATTAAGGAGAAGCTAGCTTGCAAGATTCAGTGCTGATTGTTGTAATGGCCAGCATGTATTTGAGCCCTTTGCATGAGCAAGGCATGTTTTGAGGAACTCTTCATCAATGACCTTGTTTAATTTTCACAGCAAGTCTATGAGATGGGTGCCACTATTATTCTCACTCTACAAATGAGTTACCTGAGGCTCCAAGAAAGCCTACAGCTTACAGAGGTCAGATGGCCAGAAAGCAGCAGAGCTAAGATTCAGACCCATTGTCTTGGAACTCAGAGCTGGAACTTGGGAGATCAAGGGAAAGATGGAATGGCGGGATCGGGGAAGGGGAATATCAGTTTTCTGTGACTCTAGATAGCTTGATGAAACAAAGTAGAAATCTCTACTGTAGAAGAGAATTGAAGTTGAAAAAGATAGGAAGCCTAACTTCTCTTCTGATGAGTGGGGCCAGGAGGGGGCGACAGTTAGAGGCCAGGAGAAAAGGAGGCCCAAGGCCTCTAGACCCATGTCCCTGCCTCTGCCCAGCAGCTGCCTCCTGCCCAAAAGAGTGAGCTACGATGGCTTCTCCAGAGACTTCTCTGCTTCCTGACTGTAAACAGCCCCAGGGTTGCCATTCTGGGTGTTTTTCAACAGGCCAAGGGGCCATTGAGAGCCCGCAGTGCAGAGATGAACAGCTAGCTTCCAATCAACTTCCCAGGGGCCGTGTGTAAAGCTCCCTGCAGCCCTGGCAGGAGACAGAGGCCCTGAGAGGAACAGGAGGTAGACAGACCCACCCATTTAGAGACCCTACTAGGGGGCCTGCCTGAGGCAAACAGCTGGGGTGTCCACAGCACTCCGTTTTAAAAGAGGCCAGAAACAGTCAATCTTAACGTGTGAATTTACTTACACCTGACAACAATTCTTCCCCCAACATGGAGACCTGGGGATGAAGGCGGAAGAGTCCTCCCACCCCCACCTCAGCCCCTAGTTCCTCTTCTTCCTGCTGCCTCATTTACTCTTCCTTTATTTCTTCCTCTCCCTCATATTTCTTCCCAAGGACTGGAAAACCCTTTTCCATCAAGAACCTAAGTTTAGGAAAAAGAGAAGCAGGGACCCGGCGCGGTGGCTCACGCCTGTAATCCCAGTACTTTGGGAGGCAGGCAGATCATTTGAAGTCAGGAGTTCCAGACCAGCCTGGCCAATATGGTGAAACCCCTCTTTACCAAAAATACAAAAAAATTAGCAGGACATGGTGGCATGCGTCTGTAATCCTAGCTACTTGGAAGGCTGAGGTAGGAGAATCACTTGAACCTGGGAGGCGGAGGTTGCACTGAGCTGAGCTGGCGCCACTGCACTCCAGCCTGGGTGACAGAGTGAGACTCTGTCTAAAAAAAAAAAGAAAGGGAAAAAAGAGAGAGAAGCATGAAGGGAGGAGAGAGAACCTCTTTTCCCAGGAACCCCAAGTTGACTTGGTCCTTTTGGGGGGAGAAGAATAAAATCTGTGGACTCACTACCCAGGCCAGGGAGTGTGAGTGAAGAGCCGCAGGCCTCCACGAAGACATGTGGAGGAGATTTGAGGACTGAATTTCAGGCCTCTGGGACATACAGGCACAAGGAGCATCAAAGGAAGAGGAGAAAGGAAGCCATGCCCACGTCAGAGGGGACTGCTCCAGTTGGCACAAAACTTACCTGAGAGAAATACTGGTCCTCCATTGGATGGATCACGGATCTCTCACCTCAAATCTTTGTAACCCCAGCCCCTCCCACCAGTCTGCCAGCTCCCAAGACACACTCCTTTGCACCTCCCTCCCACACATCAGACACCATTTATTTGTCTGCTGCTTCTGCTGGTTTCAATAAATATGGCTGGCTTTAAAGTCAAGGCAAAGGAGATTTACATATAAAAGGGATGGGGTCTGAACTTTCAGCTGAGTTGCTGGCTTTGCAACTGGACCTGAGTCACGCAGATGCTGGTTATGGGCAGCCCACAGTAATGTCAGCACCCCTGGGGTTGTGCAAATCACCAACTCTGGTAAGCACAGAGGAGTCGCTGGGTGAAGGGACTCCGAACCCCTTCTCCATTCTAGTTCTCCCCATCCCAGTGACAGGGGCCTCCACGCAGCTCATCTCAGCCTCAGGCCTTTATGTGGATCTCTGCCTGGACCATTTCTTCCAAGGGGCACCATGGTTGGCTCAAATATCAACTCCTCTGAGAAACCTCTCTATTCTCTTTTATTATCTTCGTGGCACTTATCCCTATCCAAAAGTTATTTTTAAAATTACTTCCTAGTCCCCACTGCCACCCCATAAAAGTTCCATGAGAGTATGGCCTTGGGGTACCCTATTCTCACCTGCATCTGGGGCACATAGGAGAGCACCTGGCTTTTATCAAGGCTGCTCTGTAGAAGTGTATCAAATTGAATTCACTGAAATGGAAGCTTCAACCCACAAAAAGCAGCCAAATGTTTAAAATGATTCTTTATCAGCAATTAAAATTTAGTTTCAATTCATTATTTTTGCCCATCTCTCAAAACAATAGCCAATCTTCTCCCTAATCGGTTGCCTCTTTCATCTCGCCAGATCCTACATTTGGAATGTCGAGAATATCTGTAGACTCCTGACAGTTAAAGGAAACCTATGGCTTTAAAAAGACGGTCATCACTGAAGATTGCATTAAACACGCTGTAAAAGGAAAATCTCCAAAGGAGATAAAGGGCCTCAGGGGTGGGTGGTGCCTGCCCAGCTGCCCCACCCCTGCAGGGAAACCTGCCCAAAGCCTCCTTAACCCTTCCGTGGCCCACACCTCAGGAAGATGCTGGGAAAGATCAGAAGAATCCAAGCACTACTTGCTGACTGGAAGAAAACAGCAAAAAAGAAAAAAAAAAAAAAAAAAAAAAGACCGATTCCAGTGTTGCTCCCCACCCCCATCCTTTCTTCTTCCAAAGAGCCTTCTGTTCAGAGAAATTAAAGGACTCTGATAGCAGATCACAAATTCAGGACAGAAAAGCTCCACTATGTAGCCAGAGACTGTATTGTGGGTAACCAGACGTTGGGCACTTTTTTTGCTTATGAACTTTTGGACACCATTCGAATAAAAGACTATTTGTTCCTGGACAAACACTCACCAGCAAAGAAGCTTTTAAGAGGAGGGGATATTTTTGTTTTGCATTTTCTCTTTGTGGAAAAAAAAAATGAGAGAGTGAAAGAGATTGAGAGACAGAGACCAAGAGACACTTGCTCTACTTACTTTTCACATAAAAGAACTTAGACTAATTTGTTTACTATTGCTGGGGATTCATGTTTACAAGTTCCTGCAGCATTGTGGTAAAAGAAATGCTATTTTTAAAAAGTAAAAACCCACACAAGCCTCCATATTCAGGGTTCTTCTTCCCCTTCCTGCCTTCCTCACTCCCCACTTTCATTTCACAGATGGCCACAAACACATGAGCCAAGTCGAAGCTCAGGAGGCCCTTGTCTTTCTCTCCCAGACCCCTTTGAGACTCCCCTGTGAAAGGGTCATACCTGAACTTGGAAGGCAATCTCTAGTTCAAGTTCAGTGGAATTCTACTTGCCACAAAAGTCACACCCCACCTGTGCTCCTTTTCAGCAAACCAAACTCCTGGCAGTCCTAAATACACACCCTAGATTTATTTTCCTTATATCCAGGGACCATTTCTGAAATCAAGCTAGCAAGATGTTGAATAATGTCCTTTTTACAAGAGGGTGTGCCGTAACTGGGTCACTAACTGTGTGACTAATCACGGGTGCCTGTAACCACAGCGACTGTGGCTTCAACCTGACGTGGTCATTTGTAAACCACAAAATGACCCAGCCATCTGCAGGGGCTGCTGGCTCTGGAGTTTGCGGCTCTTCCCATGCCTGTCCCCTCCTCACCCACGGGAGCAATGGGAGCAGCCCCTGGC